GGTTTATAATGAAGACAAAGATCCATGTACAGCAGGGGTAGGCAATAATTTTTGCAGGGGGACCACTTCACGAATTGTGGTAGTGGTCATGGGTCAGCTCTCCCTTCTCCCCCTGGAAAAGATGGGGCCTCAGGTAGAAGGGGCAGTTCCCTCTAGGTACCGTGTTCCCCTGGTGGGAGGAGGAGACTTTGTGCACTCCCCTGCCCCCAGGCCAATCTCAGTCTGGGGGCAGGACAGTGCATGAAATCTCTAGCCCCTGCACCCATCCTGCCATGGGTGGGCAGCACCTAGAGAGAACCACCTGCTATTCTGAATAGCTGGCAACTCCCTATAGGCACACCCCTGAAGAGGGGAGGAGACTTTGTGCGCTCTCCCTACCCCCAGGCCAATTGGGACTTGGAGAGGGGGCGTAAATGAAGACATTCATTGTTCAAAATGGCTGGAGGCTCCCTGACAGGGGGAGGAAGCCACCAGCCATTTTGAACAGCAAATGACTTTGAGCACTCCTGCACTCCCGGGTCTGGATTGGCATAGGGCTGAGGTATGGCAAGGCAGATTGTTGTTTGGATCAAACAGCTTGGAGGGCCAGATCCAGCCCGCAGGCTATTTCTTGCCCATCCCAGATGTACAGCATGACTGAAGAGCTATCCCCAGAAGACAGAAAAAAAGCACAAGTTAAACCTCTCTAGTCCAGAACCCTCAGGACCTGACTGAACCCAAACCAGAGAATCTGCTGGACCACCAGCAATCAATATTGTCTAGCAACACTTCCACTGCTTACTGGGCTCTTAGAAGACATTTAGGGGTACATAAGAGCTAAATAACAGAACACTGAAAGCCAGGACTGGTGGCTGTAAACAAACTTTATGGGACTACAAGAAATTGGCCACTCCCATGACAAGTGGACATGCGGCTAACTAAAATCATGTGGGACCATGGATGTTGCTGGAACAGAGCATGCCAGAACAGAGGGGTTCAATCTGTAGTACTGATCTATGGTTCAGTGTATGCTACTACCAGAATTTATGTGGGTACAGTGGTGATGTTACTATGTTTATTCCTAGAAAAAGGCTAATTAAACACAGAAATCACATTACTATGGCCTCACAAGGCATAGACTGGAAATATCTTTATTGGAATCTTTGCAGTATGAAGTAGTTCTTCGCAAAGTACATCAGCAAAAATATCTGTCATGAATATCAGAAAGGAAAACAGAGTCTAATTAGCTGTAACAACTGATTCTTAAGGTCAACTGCAGTTCCACCAGGGATGAATTTATCCCAGGATGTCCACATTTTCCCTGCGATTGTATAAACTCAGGACACAGCAGAATGTATAGATCACCTCACTCTTTTGTTCTCACTTATTGCTGAGGTGACAGGATTAATGAAACAAGTTGCCTTGTTAAAGGAAAATCATCCACTTGAAAATAACATTTGTGCCTGAACTTTTTGTACCTACTGTAACACCAAAGATTGCTGTAACTGAAAAAAGCTAGTCAAAAATATTTACTCTGATTTTTTCCAGGATCTCTCCCTTATATTTTTATTTTGTGCATTTGCTAGCACACTGTGTACAGTTAGTTTTCCATTTCTCCTATTGTCACAAAGAGTAGAATTTTGACTTAAGTGATCTAAGTCACTTATTCGAGCAAGTCCCATTGGCTTTCAATGGAACTTGTGTTCCTCATTCACTTACACACTTATGAAAATTCCATTTTTCCTAGTAGGAGTAATTGTTATTTTCCCTGCAGTAGTCCTCAGAAGACTGGGTCCCAGAAACAGAGTTATATTAAATGTTATTCAAACTCTTATTCACTCCCCTCACTCTAGTGCAGCACAGAAAGTTTCTTCACACAACAGAATCCTGTGGAAGTCTTTGCCAGCAGATTTTGTGATAGCTAAGACCAGGGCTTGACAATCTATGTAATCTACTCGCTCGTGGCAAGTAGATTACATCCCGGAAGAGCCGGGTTCGGGCGATCTGCGCATGCGCAGAACGCCGGACAGCGTGGCTGGCGAGCGGGGCTCGCTGCGGCTCAGCAAGCCATGGCTAAGACTATAAAAAGAGTATCAGAGGGACAGCAGTGTTAGTCTGAATCTGCATAAACAACAGATTAACAGATTTATTGGAGCATAAGCTTTCTGACGATGCATCTGATGAAGTGGGTCTTTGCCCACAAAAGCTTATGCTCCAATAAATCTGTTAATCTATAAGGTGCCATAGGACTTTTAGTTGTTTATATAATAAGAGTAGTTATTAATGGTTCACAGTCATGCTGGGAAGGCATAAAAAGTGGGGTTCTGCAGAGGTCTGTTTTGGGACCAGTTCTGTTCCATATCTTCAGCAACGATTTAGATGATGGCATAGAGAGTATGCTTATTAAGTCTGCAGATGATACCAAGCTGGGGAAGATGGAGTGATATTTCAAAATAATCTGGACAAAGTGGAGACATGGTCTGAGGTAAATAGGATGAAGTTTAATGAGGACAAATGCAAAGTACTCCACTTAGGAAGGAACAATCTGTTTCACACGTACAGAATGGGAAGTGACTGTCAAGGAAGGAGTACTGTAGAAAGGGATCTAGTAGTCACAGTGGACAACAACCTAAATGAGACAAGTGTGACAAAAAAAGCAAACGTGATTCTGGGATGCATTAATAGGAGTGTTGTGAGCAAAACACAAGAAGTCATTCTTCTGCTCTAATCTGCGCAGATTACGCCTCGATTGGAGTGTTGTGTTCAGTTCTGGGCACCACATTTCCAGAAGGATGTGGAGAAATTGGAGAAGGTCCAGAGAAGAGCAACAAAAATGATTAAAGGTCTAGAAAACATGAGCTATGAGGCAAAGCTAAAGGAATTGGGCTTGTTTACTTTGGAAAAGAGAAGAGTGAGTGGGGACATGATAGCTGTTTTCAGGTATCTAAAAGGAAGGTGTGGGGGAATTGTTCTCCTTGGCCTCTGAGGATAGCACAAGAAACAATGGGTTTAAATTGCAGCAAGGGAGGTTTAGGTTGGACATTAGGAAAAGCTGTCTAACTATCAGGATTAAACACTGGAATAAATTGCCTAAGGAGGTTGTGGAATCTCCATCACTGGAGATATTTAAGAGCAGGTTGGATAGACATCTGTCAGGGATGAGATAGACAGTGCTTGGTCCTGCCATGAGGGCAGTGGACTGGACTGGATGATCTCTCAACTTACCATCAACTAATCAACTAAGTTAGATAGGTTGATGATCATGGAGGATAGGTCCATCAATGGCTATTTTCCAGAATGGTCAAGGATAGCTTCTCTAGCCTGTTTGCCAGAAGCTCGGAATGGGTGGTAGGAGATGGATCACTTGGTGATTACCTGTTCTGGGGAGCCACTGGAATGATTAAGAAAAGAGATGTAGTGAGTAGAACAGATGATCTCAGAAGTGACATTTGGAATAGACTGAAATGGGGCAATGAAGGCTAGAAGCAGGTAGAGAGTAAAAAGATGCAGTAATTAGGACAGCAAGTGACCTTGGCCTGGACAAAACTTCTGAGATGCTCACTTATTTTTATTAATTTTTAAATTATGACAGAGCCCAGAGGCCCTGATTAAGATAACATCCCAATTGTGCTTGGTACTATACAACTATAAAGTCAGAAATGGCCTGAAAATTTTATAACCTAAGTTTCTTCCCAGATAGTATCATTATCTTTACCACAGAGGATCACCCTCCCTCAGGATGCCATTTCATTGTAGCCCTTCTGACAAGGAGGTGAGGAACTGCTTGGAGCCAAACCTGATGCAGGGATACAAGGTCTCTGCAGGGATAGCTGTTGCCTTCTGTGAAATATCTAGGAATCATCACTTTTGGGGACAGACTCCATTAAGGTTCTGTGAGGGAATTTTTGCAAGGAGATATGCACACCTAAACAGCCTCCTGTAAGGGAATTCACCAGAAGAGACAATCTGGCTTTCAGGTTTCAGTCCAAAATTATTTGTCTTGCTGCAGTTTTGGTTTAACAGTAACTCAAATAATAGCAACTCATAAACCTCTCCCTCCATATGGCCATTTTTATAGTTTCTCTGCAGAGACTTCTCTCATATCTAAGTGCTTTACAACCATGGAACCACTCTCACCCTCCCTCGCGTCTAAGACAGAATTAACAATTCACACCTGTCACCATGAGGCAGCAAGTCTCTCTTTCTATCTCTGAATCCAAACTTGTTAACCGATTACAAGCTGTCCCAGTACTTCATCAGAAGTTAAGAGTCTTTTTTTCAAATTGGTCTATTAAAAATATACAAACTGACAGCCTCTCTTTAAGTCAAGCTTTGTTTGTAACAAGTAAGAGTAACTCCATGAATGAGTGCTGGAAATTAAGTTTGTGTTGCAGCATTTTAAGAATATTTTAGGCAAGAATTTCTAGCAACATTCTGAAAGATTGAGCTTCTCCACTGAAAGAATGAACAGCTTAAAACATGTAAAATTGTATCTCTCTACAAAACATTAGTAGTTTTACACTGATCATGACAAAAATAATTAGCACTCACTACACTTACAAAACAAATGTGTACATTTCTAACACAAGAGGATCCATCCCCCCACATTTTTATGAATCTTTTTGTATGCTTCATTTTATTTTGATTAAAAATAACACATTTTGCTGATGACCTATGTTCACTTCCTAAATCACAAATGCAGCTTTCATCGACTACACTCTGTCAGCAAAACCACAATCATTCTAGAGGATGCCTATGAAAAGCTGTAGTCCTATTTCATATGAGTGCACATACATGCACTTCTTCCCAATCCATTAAGTTGCACTGAAATGCATAAGAGATGCAGAATTTAATCTATTCTTTTCCTGCACTCCACAATGAGGAATGTATTCTGCTGATTCACATTCCCAGTTGCACTAGCTAGTGGAAATTACCACACTAATATTCAATAGATATGGGTAGAATAGCTGGGCAGCAGCTAAGTAAATAAGCAAATGAAGATATATGTAAGTTAGTATTACCTTTGCTCCACAGAAGATGAAAATGACTTTTGTCCAAAGGCTGATTAAGAATCAAAAGGCAAAACCTCAGGTTTCCTATTTAAAAAAAACACAGATGATAATGCTCATTAACAAGTAAATTGATTTCTCCCCTCATTTTCTTAATTATGTTTGCATTTAACATCCCTCCCTACTTAATGTTAGGCTAAAAACTTGGGAGCAGACTTCACTAATTGCCTTATTTCTTAGGTTTCACCATTTCAGATAAATAGAGGCAGCCAGAGATTCATTAGATACATTTTACTTAATAGAGGATTTTATTAGCAAGTCCCTTTTATTTAGAGCTGTTCTCTGCTAACAGGCCCCCTCAATAGAACACCATGTTTGTGCAACTCTCTTGTTCAGTTCTGTCTTGCTGTTGACACCTGCGGATGGCATTTAAAGGTTTTAGCATTGTATAAGGTGCACGTACAAGCCGTTGGTTCTGCGAGAGAGAAAGAGAAGATTGCAGCTACGTTATTCAACAAAACTTTTTTACAGTCATGGACTTGGGCCCCACTCTGCTAGAAACTGAACAAACACAGAAGAGAGGATCACTGCCATGAAGAACTTACAATTTAAGTATATAACACAGGAATCATACTGGATAAAATGTAATTATTTTACCAAAGCATATTCTTTTTAGTGTATGTCTGTGTGATGGAGTGGACCAGGCCCTGAGGCCCTCTGCAGGTGGCCCTGTGGTCCTGCCACACCCTGCACCAGAAAAAAGCCACAGACAAGTCCTACAAGAGGCTAGAGTGGCTTTGGAGGAACCGGCAGAAAGGTCCTACAAAAGGAGCTACAGGACCAGAGTCAGCTCAGTGTCTCTGAAGCCATGAAGAGATGAAGATTGAAGAGACTGCCTGGCTAAGGGAGCAGCAGCACCATGGAGAGCTCTGTGTGGGGCATTAGTGTGAGACTATGATGAACTGAGGTAAAGCCCTGAGCAAGGGGCAAGGAACCCTCTCCAGGAAGAGAAGCCCAGGAGGCATCACACTCTCCGGAGTGAGGAAACTAAGAGACAAATGCAGAGGGACACTAGCAAAGGGCACTGGGATGGGCCCCTTTTAGGCATCTACCCGAGAGGCGGTTGTGATTTCACACAAGGCTGTGTGACTCGGAGGGAGGGCTGAGTAGCCAAAAAGGCTGAAGGACAGAGCGAGTGCACAGGCACTTGGCCAGAGGGTGGCTCTCAGGAGAGACGAGTGACACCCCCCCTTACAGTCTGTTATCATGGTGATTCCACAGACTAAATCTGATTCCTGGAAACATGCTATCACCAACATGCAACCCTATAAGACTAAACTAATGAGCCTGCATTTCCACAGATTGAAGTGGCCTGTAAGCCCCTACAGTCCTTAAACTATATCCAACACAGGGGACAAAAAAGAACACACAAAATGTAAGTTTTAAAATAAATGGATACTAGCTATTCCAGACTGCGCCTCCAGGGAGCAAATGTAACCCCTACGCCTTATTAAGGTTGCATGTGCTGGGAATTGCATTTATTTCATTTCCTAATTATCTATCTTGGAATAGAAGTTTCCCCTGGAGCTTGATTTCCTTAAGCTCTCAGGTTAATGAAGTCTATTTGATCATGTGAAGCCAATGTAATTGCAAGGAGAAATCATCTATCCCTAGAAGGTCTTTTGTGCCTCTGAGCACATTTAGTAGAGCAGAAGGTGGAGCAAGGAAAGACTCGGGCGGAAATATAAGGGAACAAAAAGGTGAAGAAGATCTCTGCAATGTGCATTAAATTCTTGGGAAAAAAAGAAGGAGATGCATAAATTCAGCCACACATGAATAGGCATGAGAGGCAGCAACCTGCACTCTACTAAAAACTACATTCAGACCGTGAATGTACAAACATAAAACAATTCTGCATATGAAGTACCATTATATGCTGTGATATGGCAGTGGCATGATACCCTGGAAAAACCACATGCTCACCACCTAAAAGAAAGCCATTATTGAGATAAGACTACCGCACCTCTTCTATAAATGAGAACTTGTAGTTTGGCTCCTGCTAGACTCAACAAAGACGACAATCAGAAAAGGTCAGCAAAGTACAAGTTTCAGTATCTGCTTATTTTTTATTACAAATAAAGTGAACTGGGTGATCAGAGGCACATATTTTCTTATCTACTCCATGGGTGTCATAACTGTCTTGGCGATTACCTCATCACAGCATTTTCTAACCTATGATGTTTTGTAGAACCTAAACTGCTAAACATTATGGAGGCTGCTCCCCACTTGAGCACTTAGTTGACGTTCCTCTACTCTTCTGCCAATTTCTTCTGCAGCAGGGTAGAAGCTAATAGCATATACATATGGTCACAGAAGTTAAGGGTTCAGGAAACCACAGTAAATAATTGGGTGTGGAACTTTCTTTCGTCAAGTTTGAGCATGTTTTTACCTTGTACTTGAACTGACAAAGACAGATGGGAACAATACATTTAAGTTGAAAAACAATTTATAGCTACATCTGGAAGTGGGACCTGGGAAGCAGAGCTCTTAATGATTAAACCTCTTTTTCTGGTGACCCCCATCACAAAATAACAAGTGGACATAATACATAAAGGTAGTCACAGATACTGTACACTCGCTGAAGTAAGCAAATCACAAAAGTCTTTGCCAAGTGTTAAACCCTATCTGCACACGGTTAGCTCTATCTGCACATGGTGGAGGGGAGGCAGGGAAGAGGAGAGATTATGAATGTCAGTACTGTATTTTGCTGCACATTTTGGAGGTATCTGCTGTAAGTTAACAGACACTTAAAAACATTGGCTCTGATTTTGGGTATTCAGATTGAGACACGAAAAGGCTCATTTTCAGAGGTGCCAAACAAACACCCCAAACCCTCAATGAAGGCCTTAGGAACTGCAGATGCTCAGCACCTCATGCACAAATGGGGTACACAAAACACGATGGCACACAAAATTAGTGGATGCTTTTGAAAAATGGAGCCGTGGTTTGCACAAGTGGAAAGATGCAATTATGACGTTCCCTATATTTATAATGGGGAACACAGCATACATGTTGAATGAACCACAGCGACAGGAAAAATGACTAAATATTAGACACCTGTGTCACCAAAGCAAGCACAAACAGAACCATTTTAACAGTGCTCACTATTGATAGCCAGCTAACCAAAAGGGGCCAGACCTTCAAAACGGACATATTGCCAGTGAAGTGTAAAGTAAAGCTACAACAATTTATGCTCACTGAGAATCCTGCCTAAAGAGTGGCAATTAATAAAATGGACATTTTTGATAAATGTAAGACCACACTGAAACTTCAGCTAGGCAAGAAAGATTGTTTAATGGAAACTACAGCATTGCTCCATGTGATCTATTGGCGTCTCATTTGAAAACAATCCACTTCCTGGTCTTCAACTTTATAATCCCTTACATTGAAGAGAGGCGCTCTCATGGGCTGGCTGTCCATCCATTACTCAAGAACAATTAGCACTAGGGCTGCCAACTTTCTGTCTCACAAAACAAAATACCCTTGCCCCAACTCCTGCTCTGCCTCTTCTCTGACACCCTGCCCCTATTCATTCCATCTTCCAATCCTCCATCACTCACCGTCCCTCTGTCCTGACTCACTTTCACTAGGCTGCGGCAAGGGATTGGAGCGCAGGAGATCGTGACAGGGGATGGGGATGCAAGCAGAAATACAGGGTTCTGGGTGTGAGAGAGGGTTCAGGGTTAGAGTATGAAGTTGGAGTGGAAGTGGAGGTGAGGATGCAAGCAGAAATACGGGGTTCTGGGTGTGAGAGAGGGCTCAGGGTTGGAGTATGAAGTTGGAGTGGAAGTGGAGGTGTCCTCCAGCTGGGAGGCATTTACTTCAGGTGGCTCCTTGAGGAAGCTGGCATGTCCGGCGCACTGTCCATGCCCACAGGTGCCAACCCTGCAGCTCCCACTGGACATGGCTCCCAGGCAATGGGAGCTGCAGAGCCAGTGCTTGGGGTGGGAGTAGCACATGGAACTCCCCTGGTCACCCTTATATCTAGGAGCCAGACATACTGGCAACTTCTGAGAGCCACATGGAACCAGGGCAGGCAGGGAGCTAAGTTAATGGCCACCAGCATTCAGCACTCCTGCTGTAAAAATTATTCAGGTGCCAGTGCCTCCACAGGGCTGGAGCTCTGAGTGCAGGTTTGCCCCACTGCAGGAGAAAGCCTCGAGCCTCCGTACCACCCAGGCAGGTGAGTGGTCCATGATTATTCTTCCTGTTGGTTATTGTCCCATGACAGAAAAAAGGGTCCCACCCAACCTGTGAAGGATATTGCAAGGATCTGGGCCATATAAAAACAAAGGTAGATAAATGGAAGTCCAACTGCAGGCTGATCTCTGTGTCCCGCAAAATAAACAAAATAAACTGTCATGGGATAAGAGGGAAGGTTATTGGTAACTGGTTAAAAGACAGAAAACATATTGTAGATATAAATGGTCAGATTTCAGAATGAAGGGAGGTAATTAGTGGTGTCCCTCAGGGGTCTGGCTAATCTGGGACCAATCCTAGTCAACATATTCATAAATGATCTGGTAAAAGGAGAAATCAGTGAGGTGACTTAATATGCAGACAATAGAAAATTACTCAAGACAGCTAAGTCCACAGCAGACTATGAAGATTTGCAAAGGGATCCCAGAAACCTGGGTGACTGGGCAAAAAAGTAGCAGATGAAATTCAATGTTAGTAAATACATAGTAATTCACATTGGCAAACAAAATACCAACTATACATACAAAAATGATGGTGTTGCTGGCAAGAGTAAGTCTCAGGTCCAACACTGAGTTCTCAAAGTACAAAAACATGCTGCACAGGTATCTGTCAAACACAAGCAGTTTATTTTCTGACAGCTATCAGCTGCGCCCCTTAACTAAAAGAACAATATGATAGGAAAAGCGGTATCTTACGTCCCTTCTGCGAGCAGGGAACCCTGTTTCGGCTGCAGACAAAGCAGGAGACGGTCTTGGCTTCCAAGGCACCAGTACCAAAGCCCATTGGTGAAGTTCAAATTGTTGTGCTCTGGTGCAGTTTTAAATACA